GGACCAATAACTAAGCACTATTTATGAAACTGTACCAAGTACTATACATTATTTATGAAAATGAACCCTATAAATAGGCACTATTTATGATACATGATCAAGAACTAGGCACTATTTATGACACTGGACCAAGAACTACACATTATTTATGAAACATGATCAAGTACTATTTATGAAATTGAACCAAGAAAGAGACATTATTTATGAAATTGTACTAATTACTATACACTATTTATAAAACTAGACACTATTTATGAAATATGACCAAAAACTAGGCACTATTTATAAGATTGGACCAATAAATAGTGTAGTACTTCAATTTTTCATAAATAGTATTCAGTTTCATAAACAGTGTATGTGATGGATGCACGTGTCCTGTGCGTCAGGTCTTTTTTTTTTTTAATTTTTTTATATTAAAATTGTATCATTTTCATTAAACTTTATGTTCTTTTGTCATTTTTGTTAAAATTTAAGGGTTTTTCATTAATATTTAATTCTTTTTTATTAAATAAAGTTATAACATGGTTTTTTTTATTAAAATAAACTTAGCCTAAACTGTCCCATCCCATACCGACTCCGCGGTAGCACGATATTGTCCGCTCTTAGCTTATCATTCCCTCACGGATTTGTTTTTGGGAACTCGGACGATAACTTTCCAGTGGGTCACCCATCCTAGGATTGCTCTCGCCCGAACTCGCTTAACTTCCGAGTTCCGATGGAATTCGAAGTCAGTGAGTTTCCAAAAAACCTCGTGCTAAAGGGAAGGGAGCATGTACATATAAGACACATTACCCTCTCTTCGTTGGTCGATATGGGATCTTACATAAACCATTTTTATGAAAGCTCTATTTTTTTAACTAATAGTAAGCTAACGTACTTACTTTAACTATTCAATATTGTATTTTTTTTAATTAATTTAATACTTAAATTTGTATGCACTTATGTTTTCGGGAAGAATAAAAATTTGGTGTCAGAATTTGAATATTTTTTTGTTAAAATGTTCACAAAAAATAATTTACGTTAAATTAATTTTTGCACTTAACCAAATTTCACATAAAATTGTAAAATATCTCAAATTTAGAGATTATACTACAATTCTAATAGTGTAAATAATATTGTTTGTTAAAAAAATGTAAATAATTTGATTTCTTAGGGCCTCATCTAGCCTGGTCTAAAAAAGTTTGATCTTAAGAGATTGGCCCATCCCACATCTACACTTTTGGCCCAACACAAACAATTGAAATAAAATAAAAAAGAAAAGAAAGGAACACTGAAGGAAGAGCTGGAGTGACGCCGAAGAAATCAATCGACCTATAATTTATTCTTGTGTAGAAAGCATTCGCACGAACGAAACGATCTATCTCTCTCAGTCGTCAGTGAAAGCAATTGGATTTCGATTCGGTTTATTGAAAGACCCTAATTCTCCGATGTCGGTAAGTTGAAGAAGCAAGCTTGATTCGTTACTCGTACAGAGGCTGATTAGGGTTTTGTGTAAATACCCAATTCCAATTGGGGATTTTTATTTTTGTTTTTGAAAATTTGGGTTTGCAGATCACCGAGTACAATGGGAGTGCACTGGTCGCAATGGTGGGGAAGAACTGCTTCGCCATAGCCAGCGATCGCCGCCTCGGTGTTCAGCTCCAGACCGTGGCCACCGACTTCAAGAGGATTAGCCAAGTCCACGATAGGCTCTTCATCGGCCTCTCCGGCCTTGCCACCGACGCTCAGACTCTGTACCTCTCTCTCTCGCTCTATGTCTCTCTGTCTCTCGCTTTTTTGCGTTCTTTTGTGTGATTTTTGGGGATTTTTGGTTTGAACTTGAAGGTATCAGAGGCTCATGTTTCGGCACAAGCTGTACCAGCTTCGGGAGGAGAGGGATATGAAGCCGGAGACTTTTGCCAGCCTTGTTTCCGCTATTCTGTATGAGAAAAGGTTTGGAATTTGCTCATATTTGACCCCTTTTCTTGTATATGCTTGGGAGATTTAATGGGTATTGATTATTTTAGCTTAATGTGATGAGGAACTCTAAGGGTTGACTTCTTTTTTGTGATTTAGGTTTGGTCCCTACTTCACTCAGCCTGTAATTGCTGGGTTAAGTGATGAAGACAGACCATTCATATGCACTACGGATTCAATTGGAGCCAAGTAAGTTACTTTTCTTCTCTCATTCGTGTTCTTTTCCGACTTTCTCTCAATTTTTTAGCTGCCCAGATGCTAAGGACTCTGAAATTGTTTCTTCATCTTCCTATAGGATAAATATTCATGCTTGCTCACTCCTATTATGTTTATGTGTTTACACATGTGTCTTTGTGGTTTTACTTCTTGTAGTGATGTTTTTTGTGTTCTATATATGCAGGGAACTGGCAAAAGACTTCGTTGTTGCTGGTACTGCATCGGAGTCCCTTTATGGTGCTTGTGAGGCAATGTTCAAGCCTGATATGGTTAGTTTCTCTATTCAATTTGCACTAGCTTTTCAATGGGCCTGTCAATATTATTTTATTTGATCTGCTTATATGCTTATTCAGATATGGGATATTCAGTTTTAGGTGCTATAGATATTCTGTTGAATCATGTCTCCCTTATGTAGTGAACATTCAAGCACGTAACTGCTACAAACTGTCTCAGGCCATTGTGATTCATATTTAATTGTAGAGATGTGTTGTTGCTTAGACAATGTGGCTATTGAAATCAAGAAAAAAACAAGCTGAGAGATCTCCAATTAGTTGCACCTTTCTTTACGTGTGTGTTGCTACTACTGAAAGGAGTAGGGGGAAGGGGCAATATAATTCAAGGGAAACTGAGAGATATACTATGTATTAATTGTACTTATTTTTCTCTTTATCATGTCGGCAGCCAACTGCTACTTAAACAAAAGCATACATAGAGATAAACAGTAGGCTCCATTGCCAACTGAACTTCAATAATCGTTTACAGGATTCTGTGGGGCTGAAAATTTATTGCTGTCTGATAAGTTAGATCATTGTGATAATATTTACTCCCTCGTATCGCTAAAATGGCCAGTTCCTTTATTATATTTTTTACTAATGAGAACAGCTCTAACAGCTGTGCGTCTACTAATTGTCACTCAGGAACCAGAGGAATTGTTTGAGACTGTCTCTCAAGCATTACTTTCATCAGTAGATCGAGACTGTCTGAGTGGTTGGGGAGGCCATGTCTTTGTCGTGTAAGCCTTTTGTTCTCTTTACTTACTCAGATATTCTTATTACGCAATTTCTATACAGACGGTGTTATAAATGGAGATGCATGTACATAGAGAGAGAGAGAGAGAAATGTATCTTGAAGCAATATAAGATTCTATTGTTCCTTTTTTCATTCGTACTTGATAGTTAATAAACTGATATAGGATTCCAAATTCATTTCCTCCATCTTGTTGGCTGCCAAATAAAGCAAGTAGATATACTTTAGCCGAACATGATATCAGGGAAATAAGTGTGAAATACTGTAACATTGTGCTTTACATAATATGATTCATGGTATGAGTAAATCCAGGAATGTTGTTTGTCCTGAAGGCTAAAGCTGCATTTTCACGACGAGTGTCTGCTCTTACCATAACATTTCAATTAGTTATCATATTGGTGATGAAATGGAGTTTACATTAAACCTAATTCCGTAACTGGGAATCTCAGGCATCAATTTCTTTGGTGGTCTGAATTCTCAATTCCTTGTGGTTGATTTTTCCGTCATCTTCTTCATTAGATACTTATTCTCCCTATGTTATGACTTCACGGTACTAAGATTTCTGAGGGTCATTTAATTCCCTCCATTTATGTGAGAAGTAACACTACCTGTTTCAACACGTATATCTGCAGAACACCAACTGAAGTGCAGGAGAAGATCTTGAAGGGAAGAATGGACTGACCTTGCAGCATGCCTTTTTATGAGTCTTCCTACGTTTTGTCAAGGCTGCATCTTTTCCTCGGGTGTTTATGTAGCTTTGACGTGAATTAGCAGACATTAGCTTTCTTGGCGATCATAGGCCCCTTGTTATGTTTAGATTTAATGTAATTTGGATTATATACGGTGGGATCATTTGATTTAAATTAGGTCACTTTGAGAAAATGTTGGGAATTCAAATATGCTTTTAAGGTCAGTTGGTATGCTCATGAATGTTTCTAAACAGGTTTTGAGTTTATCCTGATGTATTTGCTGTTTCTAAACATTATCTTGAATTTATTCACGTTGCGCATTTGGAAACATTTGATGCTATTCTCGTGTACGGTTGTTTCGTGCTCTTAAAAAGTCTTTCGCTTGTGAATAATGGACATCTAGATGTGGTGTTATGGTGAAAGACATGCTATTAACCAAATTCTTGCGTTTTGACAAAGAGTTGGAGCACCCCACTGATGTGCTTAAGGTTACCGGATAAGCTCGATATTTTTTTTTCTTTTTGCATATAAACGAGACATTGGGAGAGTTGGGGAGGGAATCGAACTTGGAACTTGGGTGCTGAGGGTGAAAGCTCTTGACCGATCGAGCTACAAGGCTCTTGAAAGTCTTGAAAGTGATATTTGGGAATAAGCTCGATCTTTTTGTGAAATAAGAATGTGACGAATGGGTTGAATTTTACACGAAAATTATTACTGCTATACAGACCCATATGGGTTTGGTTGAATTCCTTTGACATTTTGTTTTCGTTCAATTCTTTTGACATGTTTACTTACAAGGAATATCGTAACAACTTGATTCCTTACTTTCTTACTATTATTACTAACACATGTATTGAATTTTTTTTTTTTTTATTTTAAAAAAGGTATGTGGATCTCATGTTACATTATGTACAATACCTGAACATTTTTTAATTAGATTGATTTCTCTCCTCTATTTCCGAGTTCCTCCCGTTTCACATAAGTAGACGTGGAGAAACCTTGAATCATCCATGAAACTAAGAACACAAGGGTATTCCCACGGAATTTCTTAAGCGAAAACAAAAGATGACACCGAAAAAGCAGTTTTCGGTCTTATCGCTTATTCTTCCACTATGGAAGTCGTGTTAGTCTTTAGAAACAGAAAATCTCTTTATGATTAAAAACGTTCAGCTAATCATCTGCTCTCTGCAGCCAACCTCATACCAATTATTCTGGGGGCCCTGGATGTTTTTATGAACAAGCTGAGAGGATTGTCTTTGCATAGGACACAAGTCACAATCTAGGAGCCCAAAATTTTGGAATAAGAGGTTGTAACTTATGGGACATCATTTTCTTTAGCACACGTCTTTGAACTAGGAATCTGGAATGCTTAAATCCATGAGGAATAGGTTTCCCATTGCTTTCAACGAAAGTTGCCTTTTCTCGCAACAAACCTCACAAAAACAGTCCAATTATTTTCCCTCATATATCTCGAATGAATCCGGTTTTGACACTGCTTCTGGAAGAGATTGATCGTAGCTTTCGATGGACGGAGAAGAAGATCAAGCCAAACAATCTTCCGGGAGGATCCCTTTCACCCAACTCATCCAAGTGAGCGCTGATTTCATTCTTGCCCTGGCTATGCAAGAGCAAGAGCAGGCCTACACCATGCTCGAAACCATAGAAAGCGATAGTGAAGAAGACGACACTGAAATTGACTATGCTTCTTCGTCCTCTAGTGAAAACTATGACCCAGACGTTGCTGCTTTCCTTGAAAGCCGAGAATTTGATGCTGATGATTTCAGGTTTCTTGAGGACGAAGAAATTGGCAGCAGCAGTAGCAGCAGTGATCAAGAAACGGATGGTTTGGACGTGGATGAACTAACTTATGAGGAATTTTTAGCACTTGGAGAATTCATAGGGGAAGAAAAAAGAGGACTTCCCAGGAGTGAGATTTCTGCATGTTTGCATCCCTACACGTGCGAATTAGCGGTCGGTCAGAGCAAGACTAGCATCGATCGATGCGTGGTTTGTCAGCTCGAGTATGACGATGGTGAATCACTAGCTGCATTGTCCTGTGAACACCCTTATCATTGGGAGTGTATAAGCCAGTGGCTTCAGATTAAAAAGAGTTGCCCTATTTGCAGCACACAAGTTTCATCACCATCCTCATCGTCCAAGACCATGATTTTATAATTAATTAAGGTTTCTGCATTTCATTTATTTACTGGGTTTGATTGTGAAGTGTAATTGTACAAGATTTATGTTCTCAGTTTTATGTAATTAGTTGGAATTTGGTAATGAATGAAGAAATAAAAGATCATAGCATTTACTTTATTTATTCATTTTTTTTTTTTTTTGTCTAAACTGAAATAGTTTTGTAAAAACTTTGCATATCGTATGGGGAAGGTTACGATCTATTGAGGCTGCAAGTTGCAAATAGATGACCAATTTAAGACCGCTCGACATTAGATGAGACTTGTAAGACACAATATATTGGATTTTGTTTTTAATATCTTGAGTTCTAGATTTATAAGTTCATCAAACAATGATCAGATATTAGTCCAATTTACAAGGGCATGTGATGGTGGCTCATATATGTGGCTCTCTCCTGGTGCGGCCCACTACTACAAAAGGGCCTTATTATGTCAGTAGGTGGTGTCGCTTTTATACAACATAGTAGTGGATAAGACATTCCGACACCCACTTAATATGGTGTTAGAGTTACTGTCGGTTATAACCAACATAAACTGTTAATGTCGCTTATAACCGACATTAATTTTAATATTTTTAATAGTAGTGTTGCATTAAAAAAAAACTGTGTCGCTTTTAACTAACATAATGTTAGCGTCGGTTAAAAGACATTTTCGGTTGTAGCCGCCATAGGTTTTAATTTTTATTAAAAATTTTAAAACTCGATGTCGGTTGTAACCGACATAATGTTATCGTCGATTTAAAGAAATATTTTCAAAGTCGGTGTCGGTTGTAGCCGACATAGGTTTTAATTTTTTAAAATATTTTAAAAACAGTGTCGATTTTAGGCGACAAGTGGTGGATACCCTCCCCGTGTTTTCTCTTCCTCATTTGAGGCATCTGTTTATTTGACACAATCTTGATGTTACGCATATCAAGAAGAATATATGTGACAATGAGGTGGGAACATTGTTAGATATAGAAAAGTCTACAAATGGATTAGCTGCACTAGGCCTGGTAATTTCTGACACGACCCGATAATCCTTACACAATATGACACGAAATTAACAGGTGTTCGAGTCCACATGATAACGAATCGGGTCGTTATCAGGTAACCCAATAAGCACCTGTTAAGATAACGGGTTGGTTCAAGTATACACGTGGGTAACACAATACACGATAAGCAAAATATTAATTTTATAATTTTATAACCCTAAAAAAATACTATAATAATTATATATATTAATTTAACAATTTTATACCCCTAAAAATTATAATTATATATATATATATATCATTATAGCTACACTCTTTGACCCTATATGAATACAATGAACGAATTCGATCTTCAATTTAAAATATTTACACTAGTGGATACCACAAAATTTTATGTTATACTTAATGAAAGTATAAATAAACTTTAAGTGTTAATGAATCTATCGTTTTGACGGGATACGCATCCTACGAAACTAATTTCAACGATACAACCATCCAACTTGTTTGTATATGCTTCGAGATCGTATACGCCAAAAATTGCAAAAAACAAACATTCAGAGATCAAGTAATAGGACAAAACTTTTTTACGGTTATAAACGAAAAACCACGATTTAACGGTTATTTTAACTCCGATTTTGATGATTTTTTACACCTACACTCCTTGACCCTATATGAATATAATGAATGAATTTGATCTTCAATTTAAAATATTTACATACTTAATGAAAGTATAAATAAACTCTAAATGTTAATAAATCTATCATTTTGATGGGATACGCATTCTACGAAATTAATTTCAACGATCTAACCGTCAAACTTGTTTGTATATGCTTCAAGATCGCATACATCAAAAATTGAAAAAAATAAACATTCAAAGATCAAGTAACGGGACAAAACGTTTCAACGGTTGATGGGATACGCATTCAATGAAACTAGTTTCAACGATCCAACCGTCAAACATGTTTGTATATAGTTCAAGATTGCATACGCCAAAAATTGCAAAAAAAAAAAAACATTCAAAGATCAGGTAACAGGACAAAACTTTTTTAAGGTTATAAACGAAAAATCACGATTTAACGGTTATTTTAACTCCGATTTTGATGAATTTTTATAGGTACACTCCTTGACCCTATATGAATACAATGAATGAACTTGATCTTCAATTTAAAATATTTACACTAGTGGATATCACACAATCTTATGTTATACTTAATGAAACTATGAATAAACTCTTATGTGTTAGTGAATCTATTGTTTTGATAGGATACGCATTCTACGAAACTAATTTCAACAATCCAATCGTCAAATATGTTTGTATATACTTCGAGATCACATACACCAAAAATTGCAAAAAACAAAGATTCAGAGATCAAGTAATGGGACAAAGCTTTTCGACAGTTATAAACGAAAAATCACGATTGAACAATTATTTTAACTCTGATTTTGATTTTTTTTATAGCTATACTCCTTGACCCTATATGAATACAATGAATGAATTTGATCTTCAATTTAAAATATTTACACTAGTGGATACTACAAAATCTTATATTATACTTAATGAAAGTATAAATAAACTCTTAAGTGTTAGTGAATCTATTGTTTTGATGGGATACACATTCTACAAAACTAGTTTCAACGATCCAACCGCCAAACATGTTTGTATATACTTCGAGATCGCATACGCCAAAAATTGAAAAAAAAAAAACATTTAGAGATAAAGTAACGGGACAAAACTTTTCGACAGTTATAAAACGAAAAATCACGATTTAACGGTTATTTTAACTCCGATTTTGATGATTTTTTGCAGCTACACTCCTTGACCCTATATGAATACAATGAATGAATTTGATCTTCAATTTAAAATATTTACACTAGTGGATACCACAAAATCTTATGTTATACTTAATGAAAATATAAATAAACTCTTAAATGTTTGTGAATATGTTGTTTTGATGGGATATGCATTCTACGAAACTAGTTTCAACTATCTAACCGTCAAATATGTTTGTATATACTTCGAGATCGCATACACAAAAAATTGCAAAAAACAAACATTCAGAGATCAAGTAACGGGACAAAACTTTTCGACGGTTATAAAACGAAAAATCACAATTTAACTGTTATCTTAACTCCGATTTTGATTATTTTTTATAGCTACACTCCTTGACCCTATATGAATACAATGAACAAATTTGATCTTCAATTTAAAATATTTACACTAGTGGATACCATAAAATCTTATGTTATACTTAATGAAAGTATAAATAAACTTTAAGTGTTAGTGAATCTATCGTTTTGATGGGATATGCATCCTACGAAATTAATTTCAACGATCCAACCGTCAAATTTGTTTGTATATGCTTCAAGATCGCTACACTAGTGGATACCACAAAATCGATATTTTATAATAAAATTATATTTATGAATGAATCCGATCTTCAATTTAAAACCGATATTAATTATTTTATATATTTTAAGTATTAATTAGAGTATGTTTCAATTAGTATGTGATGATATTTTATAATAAAATTATATTTATGTTTTTTATTACGTATTTTATTCAAGTTAAATTTTATTTATTAAAATCTTAAAATGTTATATGACATAATTTGAAATGGATGGATAAACATTAGGCGGGAAATGGATGGATAATTTGAAATATGAGGTGGGAAATTTCCCGCTTGTTTTGCAGAGGAAATGTATTCTCAGACTTAGTGTCGGTTTTAACCGACGTTATCGTCTTTTAATTCAACACAAGTTTCATTAAACCGACGCTACATGAATTTCAAAAAGTGTGTCAGAAGTTGGTGTCGGTTAGAACAGACACCAACATTAATTTAAACCGATGCCGTATTTTCAATAAAGAGTGTCAGAAAGTTGATTGGTTCAGTTAACTTGACGTGAATATCAGTAAAGTGTGTCAAGATGACATCAATTAAAACCGACGCCATTTACATTTAATTCGACGTTAGTGAATCAATGTCGGTTTAAACCAACGCCAACTAAGTACCCATATTTAAACCCCTCTCTTTCCCATTTCATCCATGCTTTCATTTCTCCCCCAATTTCAGTCTTTCTTCTTCTCCTCCCCCATTTCATTTCCCCATTTCATATGTGCGTCCCTTTCTTCCTCCTTTTCTGTTTTTCCTCTTCTCCTTTGCGATTTTCTATAGATCACCATTTTGAAGATCAACATTTTGAGGAACTCCAATTCGAAGAGGAAGAGCTCAAAGGTGGTTCATTTTATGATTATTAATTTTAGTTTCTGTTTTGTATTCTAAGTTTTATGCTTAAATTGAAATTTTATTTTTGTTTCTTGGTTTTTAATTGTTTTTTTTTTTGTATTTATAAGGATCAACTCAACGGAGATGCGGACCCTCAATTCCGAATTGGAAGGAACATGTATTAGTGATAATTCTAGTGCGTTAGTGATAATTCTAGTGATAATGCATTAGTGATAATTCTAGTTCGTTTGATTCGTTTGGAAAATGCATTAGTGATAATTCTAGTGCGTTTTCGAAACATGTAGCGGCAAAGGTTAGAGATTACAGAAATATTCCGATGGTGGCATACTGGAATAAAGAAAAAACAAAGGTAAACGTTTCATGATTTATTTTATTATACCTTGAAATTTGTCTAATAAATTCTTTTATTTTTCAGGAGATTGCTGAAAAAAATAAGCATAATTGGCAATTGAAAACTATGAACCACTCAACCAGTTCAAAATCTAGTGCAAGAGTTCAGGAAGAATTTGTATATTTTAAATTTAATATATAGTTGGTAGAAATGTATTTTTAATATGAAGTTTGCTTAAAATTGTTTGTTTTTTCATTGACATATGGTGGGATTTATTTTTATATAATTTTTTAATTATTATTAATTAAAACCAGAAATTTTTTTTTTTTATTATTACTATATTTGGTGTTGCTTATGAACGACAGCATAATAATTATTTTATGTATCCATATGTTATGTAATGTCGATTAAAACCGACAGTAGTTTGAGTATTTTATTTGTTTAACTGTTACGTGATGTCAGTTATGACCGACAATATATTTGATATTTTAATTCTTTAATTGTTGCTTGACGTCACTTAGAACCGCCATCATGTCAGAACTTAACGTTGTTTCTAACCGACGTAATGTTGGACGTCGCTTTTAAGCGACGTTGTTGTTCTTTTTTATTTTATATTACTTTGCTTCTTGGTGGCGGATTAAAG